CCTAATGTTCTGTGATTCTGTGATTCAGTGAAAGGACTGCTGATTCTTCTGTGGAGCTGCTCCACTAGCTGATGGTCACCAGTGTACATTTTGGTTTCAGCTGGAGCAAAGACAAGATCAGCATTAGTCAGCATTGTCCAAAATCTCATCTCAAATCTCTAAATGCCCACTGGTCTTGTAATATCAGTGTGGAGGGGCAATGACTGATAATGTGGCATAGCAGAACTGGTTAACACCAGCCTTCATTCCTAAAGTTTCTAAATTGAGGAGTTTTTAAAAGGTGCTTATGATGCTGCATAAATGAAAGATCTACAGAAGGAATATTTTGCATCTCTCTGAATCAAATCCTTTAAAAAAGAACATGCTACTTTATTGGGACAGCTTTAGGTTTTGATGTTCTCTGTTTTAAAGTGAAGCCCCTACCTAGCATCGTTAATCGTCCAATTCTATCCATCAGGAGAGCGGATACAATATTCCCAGGTAACACAGCCAATGTTCCCAGGAAATTAACAAAGTAGATCCAGTAGGCACTGTAGTCATCATCGAAAGAAATCTGGCATCCTGTCCTGATGTGGAAAAATGTGCAATTTATCAATTCACTGTCAACAAATTTATATTGCTCAAGATCTGTGGAAAGAAGAAAAAGAAACATTTCAGCCAACAGCCAACTCCATGAGCAGCTTTAGATTAAAAACATTTCAAATTTAGGCAAATTTAATGACAACTTGGAGCTTTTACTGCTTCATAAAATGGGACTAGTTACTGCTGCTAATTTTGATACCATTTTATCTTAATAGAAAAATATGCAAAGCTCACGAAGAAGAGCAACTAAGGCCTTGAATTAAGCAAGTTATATTAATGTATTTCAGCTCTGCTTGGACCGTATTTGGTTACGGCCTCTCAGCACCAGTTGGCCTTGCACAAAATGCATTAAGTATCTGCAAGTTTCTATCCCGTGGTCTTGCTTGGTGTTAAGACCTTCTATTTCCGTACCAGACAGCCTTTGAGACGAGACTGCTGATTATGCTTACTTTGGTTTGACTTCTTTTTAAGGTGAATGTTTTCACAGACTTCTCAATAAACTCATCTTCATTTCTAAGGATGCCTCTTGGTCTTCAGCTAAAACACAGCTAAGTGACTACACGAAACTGTTGAGGCCATTCTTCTTCAAATGCAATTTCAGAGATCTTTCCTTATACTTACGCTTTCTTTCTGTTCCTCCTGTCAGCCTTATAACCCTGAATCAAGAGTACCTTCCTTTCAGACAAAGAAAGCTGAGCATTGCTTGCTCTGAAGCCTGATTCTATTAATGTTATGATTGCTGGAGTTACAAGAAAATGGTAAGTATTGCCTCATCTTTTCAACAAGCTTAGTTGATCATGTTGTACTTTCAGTTATGTTTTATCAAACTGAAAGAAAATATGAGTCCTCTGTTTAAACATATGATAAAATGTATTCCCATTTTTTAGAGAATACTTTGAGGTCTGGAAATGATTACAGATTAAGTAGCTTGAAATCTGAACTCTGCTTGTCATGCCACAGCAAGCACAATGAACAAAGTATTTCACAAGTCTGACTCGGGCTAAATAAAAATATACTAGTTAAAGCTACTAGCAAGTACATTTTCTCCTCTTCAGTCTGAATATCTTTAGAGATTATTAAAATCAAAGAGATGTTGATTATCTGAGTGAATATTAGGCCTGCAGTGTCTCTACTGGGGGAGTGATCCTTTCACTTTTCTGTTACAACACTGCTGAAGCCTGTTGAGTTTTATACCTTTTATTCCCTACAAGATGGTTTCTTGTACACGTTATTAAAAATCCAGAAATTATACACATAAGATGAGAACACACAGCTGAACAATAGATGTTCAGGCATTTTTTTCTTGCAATACCTGTGTTGTAGAAGGTGGTATTCACAAATGTACAGTTCCTGAAGTATGTGTTCAGTGAAGTAATGTCTTCAAATACACAGTTCTTAAAAAGGGAATCTTCAAAGGTTACTGATTTAAACTTCATCATAATAAACCTGTTCAATACAAATAATATCTGTCAGTCTGCCTTCATAGGATAGAAAGAGGAACAGGTCAAGCTGATGCAGCCACACAGGTCTAAAAAATCTCAACCCTAGAAACTGTGATTCCTTAAGGGCATTCTCGAGTCACAGTTAAAAGTTACTTGATTCTAGAATACTATCATTCAGAAAAAAACATTAATAAGACAAATAGCTCCACATAGCTACCAGCCACAACCTGTAATACAATTTCTTTGGTAATATTTCAGTTATTACTTGTCCTTAATCCTCAAGTAAAACCAATGTCATGACATTCATGGAATAGCCTTGTAAAATCACTATTACTTGTAAATTGACATTGCAGTCAGAAATCAGGAGCTCAGGCTCCAGAAATTCAATCTCTTGGAACAAATAAGCACCTGCTTGTTTCAACAAGCTGGAATGGAAGCACTTTTGAAAGAACCTTTATATCTCCAGATAACCATACTAGGCACTGTGTCAAGTTCAAATGCAAAACATACTCTTCCAAGTGTTTAAAAATAGTTTCACAAGATGTTTTAACATGAACACAACAATTACATTGGCAGTTATACAGATAGACATCTAACTGGAAGTATGTGTTTGTTACTCCTGTGCCTCTGAATGCACTTGCAATTACTTTGTACATAAAACAGACACAAACGAATTGTAGCTTTTCTTATTTCTGAACATCCTCCTTCATGCTGACTCTCATTTAACTCCTAGGTCTTTGATCATGACTATCAATCAAGTCTTCGACAGAAAAAGTCAAAGACAAAGGATATTACAAGCAGTAACTTTCTACCTCAATATTACTAGGCTAAAACAATGTTGTAAGCCTTTTCTAGTGTACTTATACAAACTAATACCATTATGCTAACAAAAAATAGCAATATTAGTCATGTCTTCAATTTCACATGAGAGTATGGAAAAAGCTGTAACTAAAAAAAGGGCAGTTTTGCTGGCAGAATTCACCCCAAATGGCAACACTTTAAAAAAACAGTCCTTTTATTGTTATACGGCAGTAAGAACTGTTAAAATGGCAAAGCCTTCTGAACACAGACCTGGCTCTGATCTTGTTAAAGCTGGTGTGACTAGTTAAATATTGTTGTTGCTACAAGACTAATAGTAGGAAGAGGAATACACAAAATATGCTGCCGATGAAATAGTAGGAACTAAATTCTCTTGCCAGTAAAGTTGTTGGAATCACATCTTTACAAGAAAGTTGAGGAAAAGCTAACTATGTTTGTGAAAGGAAAAGATTTATTAGCTAATGAATTCTCTTTGTGTATTGACCAGAAGAATGGTGTTTTCAGCCCATTAGTTTTAGTTATCATATAATTTCTCTTTTGTGATAGCCTCTGATTAAAATCAGGCTGGCATTCTGTGTCAACTCATTATCATATTTCATATAGCACTTTCTGTTTTAGAATGTAACCTAATTCAAGTAGAGAATAAACAGAATTTAGCAACTAGATTTTTGGAACAGAAATGACAACTATGTGTCCTACGTTCTTCTGATGTTCTTTTTACCTTTGGACAGGAAATATATTTTGACTATATTAAAACTGGTGTTGCAAGTATTTGAATTGAAAACCAACAGAAATATAATGAAGTAAAAAATCAAGTATTAACAGATCTTGTAATTAGGAAAGAACATCAAGGAAGCACTGAGATTAAGGGTAAGCTGGGTATTGAAATGTTTGTGGAGGAAGACTATCAAATGAGTTCATACTTCTGTGGAATATACTTTGTGAATCTCAGTTATCATAGAATGAGTTGGGTTGGAAGGAAACTTTGAAGGTCACCTAGTGAAACCCTGCTGCACTGCGCAGGGACATCTTTAACTACATCAGGTTGCTCAGAGCCCCATCAAGCCTGGCCTTGAATGTCTCTAGGGATGGGGACTTCACTACCTCATTGGGAAACCTGTTTCAGTGATCTATCACCCTCATGGTAAGGAACTTCTTCCTAACGTTTAATCTAAACATATTCTGCTCTAGTTTAAAACCATTGCTCCTCATTCTATTGCTACGTGCCCTTGTAAGCAGTCCCTCCCCAGCATTCTTGTAAGCTCCCTTCAGGTACTAGAAGGCTGCTATAAGGTCTCCCCACAGCCTTCTCTTCTCCGAGCTGAACAACCCCAACTGTCTCAGCCTGTCCTCATGGGGACTGTTCTCCAGGCCGCGGATCATTTTTGTGGCCCTCCTCTGGACCTGCCCTAACAGGTCTATGTCCTTCTTGTATTGAGGGCATCACAGCTGGATGCAATACTCCAGGTGAAGTCTCACCAGAGCAGTTCAGAGGCGCAGAATCAACAATCACAGAATCACAGAATCACAGAATCGCTCGGTTGGAAAAGACCTCTGAGATCATCATTTCCAGCCGTTCCTGTCCACCCCCTAAACCATATCCTTAAGCACCTTGTCTACCCACTCTTTAAACACATCCAGGGATGGTGACTCCACCACCTCCCTGGGCAGCCTGTTCCAGCTTCTGACAACCCTCTCAGTAAAGAACTTCCTCCTTATCTCTAACCTGAACCTCCCTTGGCACAGCTTGGTGCTGTTACCCCTTGTTCTATCCTCCATCACCTGGGAGAAAATCTCATCCTGCTGGCCACACTTCTTTTGATGCAGCCCAGGATGTGATTGGCCTTCCTGGCTCCAAGAGCACATTGTTGGCTCATGTCTAGCATTTTGTTCACCAGCACCCCTGCAACCTTTTCTGCAGGGCTGCTTTCTATCACATGATCCCCCAGCCTGTACTGATAATAGGGATTATTTGGCCTTGTTGAACCTCATGAGGTTCACAAGGGCCCACCTTTCCAGTTTGTCTAGGTCCCTCTGGATGACCTCCCATTCCTCTAGCATATTAACCACACTGCTTAGCTTGATATCATCTGCAAACTTGCTGAGGATGTCTTCGATCCCACTGCCTATATCACTGATGAAGATATTAAACAGCACTGGTCCCAGTACAGAACCCTGAGGTACACCACTTGTCACCAATCTCCATCTGGACATTCAGCCATTGACCACTACCCTCTGGCTGCGACCATCCAACCAATTCCTTATCCACTGAACAGTCCACCCATCAAATCCATATCTTTCCAACTTGGAGACAAGGATGTTGTGGGGGGACTGCGTCAAAGGCCTTGTAGAAATCCAGATAGATGACATACATAGCTCTTCCATTATCCACTGATGCAGTTACCCCATTGTAGAAAGCCACTAGGTTGATCAGGCAGGACTTGCCCCTAGTAAAGCCATGCTGGCTGTCTTGAATCCCCTCCTGTCCTCCATGTGCCTTATCAGAGCTTCTAGGAGGATGTCTTGCATGTCTAGGAGGATCTGCTCCATAAATTGGCTATCAGAGGCCTAATAAATTTGTGCATTTGAAAGAGTAAATTAGTTTTCAGAGTAAATTAATGTTAGATTTAGTCTTTTTAAAAAATTTTCATTTCAAATTGGTAAGAGCTCAGTTGACATTTTGATGTTGGTTACTGACAGTAAATGGTTCTTTGTTTTTAGGAAAGCATCTACCTCCTGGAAAGGAGCAAAACTGGGAAGCTATGTCTGCTTGGAAAATGAGATAACTGCTTATTTTTGTTTGCAGTGCATAAGGCTGTATCAAACTCACGTTCTTATAAAAATTATTTTTAATGACGCGTATTACCAAAATAATGAACTTTATACACTTAGATATACATTTTCCTATGGAAATAACAATCACTTAACACCATCACATCCAGCAGACCATTCATATAGTTGTTCTGTGTATTTCTTGAGAGAAACCAGATACCTAAAACAGCTGTGTTTAATTTCCCCATAAGTTATCTAATTATCTGTAAAGTCCAGATAGAACCTTAATATGTTTGGATTCAGTAAAAAAACACAAAAGGCATTGCCAATGTGTTGTTTCCTGTTTGAGAGCTGATCATACTTTCTATTGATTTACAGTAATATTTAGCTTTTATTTTTCTGTGATAAGATCCTAACCGCTCAATGCTCAACGTTTTCACAGAACTGGCTTTCATCAAGAAAAGAACTGACAACAGAGATGAAAGTACATCCTACTCCAGCCTCCTACAATACGCCACATATGTTGGGTCTGAAAACCTTTGAACTTCACTGTGAAAGGAAGTATTACTAACTTATGCTTTTTGATCTGTTTTTCAGGAGAGCGAGGAGGCTGGGTTTGCATAGGGCATCCTCACAGAGGAACTACTAGGACATGTACAGGCCCACATCTCCCCATGCTCCACAGAGGAGATAAAAAAATCAAGAATTGAAGTATATTCCAGTTAAATAGTAGCAAAACCATCTATTTTTAGCTAATGGAGAAAAATATTAGATTATTAGGACATGCTTTAAAATATACATTTGTTTATTGCAGACAAGTCAGGATATTAGGAAATCTCTAAACCTGTCATTGATGTATTCTCCATTGCTGTGAATCTGATTTTCCAATGTGAAGTTAAAGATGAAATGTGAAACCTCCTCATTGCGGAAATGTTTCACTCGGGATGCGTACTCGTCTGACTGCAGATGTTTAATGACATCAGGAAACCAGACCGATAAGCCATAATAGCTGTGAAAAAAACCAGAAAAAGCTCAGTTGCCAATCTGTCTTTTTCTGAAGTCGGTGTGAGGTAATGACTAGCATCTCCCTTGGAGCAGTTGCTCCATCATAAAAAAATCCTCTATAAAATAAAAATGTTAAGGGATGTCGATCCCAGAAGATGACAGTATTCTGAAGCAGATATTCTTGGTGAGTTGGGCTTGCAACCTAGAACAAACTAACCAATAAATATAACATTTTGTGAAAAGATACTGAATAAATACATCCCAAATAAAAAATAAAAAAGATCATCATAGTAACAGGCATTTGCATCCATATGAATCTTCTGTCAGTCAAGTCTATAAAAATGTTTTACCGCCTCAACCATTCTTACCCAAAAGACAGGGTGAACCATACAGCTGTAAGTTTGATTGTATTATCCTTCACTGGGTAGTTGAAGCATCTCATAAATGTCAGCCAAATCTGTAAATCATTAGGAGAGACATTTATATTAAATCTTATTTGAAGAACTTTGATTCTGATTTGCTTGCTTCAGGACATCGGAGAGAGCAGGTCAGATCTTTGTACAGGTCATAACTGTGCTTCTCATACAAGCATGCTAATCTTCAGCTACATACAGATTATGCATGTTCTTTGAATTTCTGGCTTCTTTTAATGGAATCATAGAATGTTTTGAACTGGAAGGGACCTTTAAAGATCATATAGTCCAACCCTGCTGTGATGGCTAGGGACATCTTCCACTAGACCAGGTTGCTCAAAGCCCCATCCAACCTGACCTTGAACACTTCCAGGGAAGGGGCATCCACAGCTTCTCTGGGCAACCTCTACCAGTGTCTTACCACCCTCATTATAACCAAATTCTTCCCAATGATCAATCTAAATCTATCCTCTTTCAGTTTAATAATGCTACTCCTTCTTCTGTCACTACAGGTCTTTGTAAAAAGTCTGTCCTCAACTTTTTAATATGCCCCTTTTATATATTGAAAGACCACAATAAAGTCTTCCTAGAGCTTATTCTTCTTTAGATTGGACAGCCACAACGTTCTTAGCCTTTCTTCATAGGACAGGTGTTCCAACCATCCATTTTTGTGGGCCTTCTTTGGACCTGCTCTGACAGGTCCATGCCTTTCTTCTAGACCTCAGAGATGGATGCAGTAGCATCCCCCTGGAGGTGAGGTCTCACAAGTGCCGAGTAGAGGGACAGAATCGCCTCCCTTAACTTGCTGACCATGCTTCTGTTGATGCTGCCCGGGATACAGTTGTCTTTCTGGGCTATAAGCACACATTGCTAGCTCATATCAATTTTTTTAACCACCAGTGTGGAACGTGTTCATTAATTCATGTCTGCTCTGATCCTCTCAAACTTTCATAGTCACTAGGCAGCTTCATTTCACTATCTCAAATAAACCAGAGATCATGTCAGAAATGTTTTCTTCTCACTTCCTAGTACTACAGTACTTTAGGCAAACTGTACTCCATAATTCGACAGGGAGACTTAGAGTCTGATCTGTCATAATCTATTACAGCTAGACAGTGGTACTTTAACTATATGAGAAAGAGCTGGGACTACCCCATGGTCAGAGATGCTACAGCAGAGCTTACTGAGAATGGTGTTTTCCTCTCATTCTCTCTCATCTCAAGACTATTTCCTCCTTTTGAAGACAAAAGCCAGTCTGTCCCAGGAGGTTTCAGCACAAATCATGAAACAAGAAAGATGCTTTGACCAAGTTCCTAGTCCAGTGAGATAACAAGAATGTGAGACAAGCAAGCTGCAACACCTTTAAAGCCAGTTTAAATAAGAAGACCAAATAATAACTTTTCAGTATTCAACTACTCCATTGTTTGACAAATAGCTATAAAAGCAGACACATTCTGATTTTTTTCCATAGGGAATATGCCATTTTTGCAAGCAATGAGATTCTGGGAGAAACTTTGGTTTACATCATCATAGTTCTGGAGAGCTTTAAGATGCCAGATTTTTAACAGCTGTGAAACACTGTTTTTGAGATATTTAGTATTTACATTAATGAGACTTTTCTCAATTTTCATTACAAGGTTCAAAGATGCTATATAATTTTGGTTTTACAAAAAAGTAAAAAAGAATATGGAACACAGTTCCACTGAGCTTGTGTTGAACTCTCTGAAATAGCTCTGAAGTAGTTTTCTGGTATAACATTTGACATACTAAAAATACATGCAGACATGATGTCTTATAAAGGTTTTATTAACATTCATTTACACAATTTATGTGTGACTTTATCATTTATAAGTAATGTGGCTACATCAAGTTCCTGCTGGTAATTTTTTCTCTCATGATCTATCTCCTCTTTCCATGGCTATATATTAATATGGATTCCCAGTGAATATTGTATTGTAGGGCTTTGGAATATGGCTGTGTAACTATTAGCCACCATTAGTGTGAAGACTAATGCAGCATTTTCCTCATCAGAAGTTGGAACCAACCTCTAATTCACCTGCACCCCTTCTGGGTCAGGACACTAGAACTTTACACTAGTTCCCTAATATCCCAGTTGCACAGAAAATGTACCATTGCAGCTATCATCAGGGTGAACTTAACCAATCTATCCTGTTTCTGAAATGTAATTAAAAATAAGAAAGGTATTTACAGAACAAACAGAGACTTTGTTACTTACACCATATAGCTCTGTGCGAATTCTAATAAAACATCTCCTGTACCAAGTTCCTGTATCGCTCTCTATTTCAATGAGCTCATCTATCTGCTTTGGAGTTTTGATTCTTTGAACCTAGAATTAAAAACAGAACAGCAAATATTTGCATTTTCTTGAGTCATTAACTGCCTGTCATTGAAGGTTTTAATAAATTCCATAAACTAAAAATGAGCAGATATTAAAGCTGTGTCTACACTTCGAATGCTTTAGAAACATAAAAGAATTGTAACACACTATCATGCCAAAGTTTGCCATGGATGCAACTGTTTTGGAAAAGCTCTGCTTTCAAAGCATGCAGGAAATCCATTTCCTCTGACTGAAACAAGCTGTTACTGTCAGGTTTTGCTAGAGTGTTTCTTTATATACCTCTAATGCCACAAAGGATAAAATATTATTTTAAACCCCAGTTAAGCACATCGACAGTTTTCTATCAAGTTGATTCTGACTTGCTATCGCAACATTGCTGTATTGTTTAAAGATACAGTAATAAAAATAGAAGTATCTGAAATATAAATATTTAAAAGCTAAATTTTTCTTTTGTTCTTATTTTCTGTAGGGGTAGACAGGGAACTCTCTTTTGGATGTTGACTCTAACTATCCTTTTTAATGAAGAGAGAAAAAGTTAGGTGAAATGATCTGGAACCACACATGTTATTGCCATTATTAGCAATCATGTACTTCAACTAAAGTGAAATGAGATAAACAGACATCAGGGAAAAATACAGAATTACCAGTGACAGAGAATGTGATGTTGTCTACAATGCTTATTTTCACTTGCACTCTCCTCTGTAGCAGAACAAGTATGCGTTATATGGTCTTTTCAGACACAGGACCTGACAAAAGTGTACTATTGTATATTTTTTCCTTTGTCTTCCACTCTGGTCCCAGGTTCATAGTGATGTCATAAAAGACATGATATTCATCCACAGTTTATTTAAATAGAAGACAAATAAAAAATAAAAAGAGAATGGAAAGAAAATAAATAAAATGAAGGAAGAGATTGACTTCTAAAGAGGGAGAAAAGAACAGCCTGGGTGTTCATTGTTTGGCTGCAGTTTTTGAAGGTAGCAAAAGATCGTTTTTCTTCTTAACAGAATGAGCCCATCACCACACACAGATTTATCATAGTGGATTACAAGACAGCAGGGAATTGCAGTAATGATGGTAAAGCTTTAGCTTTCAGTCCACTGCTTTTACAGATGTACACTCTTTAAGATGCATCAGCAGCCTCATCCCATGAACAAAACCAAACAAAAGTCCAAACAGTAAGCACTTTCTGTAACCAACTTCATATCTGAAATACTGCAGCTCACTGTCTTCTCAAACCATGACTACATCAAATGTCTATACCCTTCTTGTCATACCTCTTCCAATAGCAATAATCCTGCCTGCATAATTCCATTGATTTGAAGATGCTTTTAAACTGCTTTTATGAAATATTTTTTACAAAAGACTGAGTTGATTCCTCCAAAATTATTTAAGATCTTGTATGTACAGACATCCTCAGATGTCACACTTCCAGGTAGAAAGGGCATGCCTTTTGAATCACGCTGTATAAACCTGTACAACTCTCGTAGGCTCAGGGGCAACATTTTCACTGTCCTTGCCACCTGACTTGTTTGAAGCTGTGGAGGTTGGAGGAAACATATTTATATCCTAGGACCACTGTATGTGACTGAGGACAAAAAGCACCTGGCCCTGGTGGTTTTTTAATGTAATATATGTTCTGTTGGATCAGGGCAATGGTCCATCTGGACCATGCAAATTCACCTGTCATTACATGAATAATGAAAGAAAATCAATAAAGAATATCTGTTTCAATGATAATGGAACTTCTGTTTAAAAGCAATGCCTAGAAATGCTCAATGTTTTAAATTTTACAAAACCAAGATATGCTGCAAAGGAAAATGTTTGCAGAAACTCATATATGACAATGAAAGAGTGGCAAGAATTTGGGGTTTAGGGATACAAAGTTTTTTTTTACTTAAGCATTTAAACCAACTTATCTAATGAATTAGTATTTTAAAGACCCAGGAAGGTAATTAAGCATGTGTATAGATGTTTAACTTGGCAGTCCCGTAATAGAAGATACCATTTACTTACTACCATCTCTGTTAGTGTCACTGCTCTCAGAAGAGATTTTCAGAAGTATTAAGAGCCACCACCTCCACAAATTCCATGATCAGTAACTAGCATATATCCATTTTGGAGTCTTTAACTCCAAACCTGTTTATCAGTTGCTGCCTTCTCTGTTCTAAAGGTTTGAAGATAAAATCCTGAATACTATGAGTAACAAGAATAAACATGTCTTGTGAACAAAGCTCCTAGGAAAAGTTGACATCGATATAATTAAGAAAACATAAAAGAAAAGCACACTAAAACTATAGCAGTAATGGAAAAAAGTTACATTAGCTGTAGAACTAGAAAACATACCATCAAAATGTATCTTATGTAGCTAGTGACGTGAAATGAAGGAAAGTATTAATGCATAAGTCATGGAATGATACTGGATAAAGCAACAGGCTTACGAGAGTTGTGTGAATGAATTACTGAGACAACATGTCACAATAACCAGGACTAACTTGTATTAAAAAAAGGAGAGACTAAAAGGATGTCCCAAGCAGATTATACATTATTTCTTTTCTTTCTAGGTTTTATAAGATGTAGTGTTAATATTGCTCAAAGAGGAGACAATGATGCATTTTCTGATCATATTAATGCAAACTAAAATTAGGGACTTCTAGACAGTAACCTTGACATATTGTACAGTATTCCTAACCCTTTAACTTCTTGATATCAAGAGCTGCTTTGTTTTCTTCTCCATGGCTGCTTTAGGACATGATTATGGTTAGTCAGACTAATGTAAGACTGTAGCTGATCCTTTGTTCCACCACATTTCTGCCTTCCTCATACCTAACAGGGAAACAGGGTCTATGCTATGGCTGACTGTGCAATCAGTCATTGAATATTGACTCTGGCAGCAATAAAACAAAAAGTGACCAGAGTCAGGCATACTCTGTCTGAAAGCAGCTCCGATCAGCAAGAGCCAATTGTGAAATTATACCCTAGCTGTACAATGTTAGGCAAATCTCTTTACTGGTAAATTAAGTCAGAAAATCAATTATTAGGTTAGATGGGATTAGGAGTAGGTCACTGGTGTATCAATAAATGTGGATTTAACATATTTAACATTTAACATTTAGATACACTGTCCAGCCCTCTTTCAGGCTAAATATAGGAATTCTTGAGCTTCTTTGTGGAAAAAATTTAATGCAGGCAACAGAAAGTACATCCAAGGCAATAAACAGCCAGTCTCATGGAATAAAGATATATGGTCAGATGGTCATTCCTCAAGACCGCCTGCAAATGCAGAACCTTTAAGAGGATTTCTTAATTGAGTTATTTGTGCATTAAAGTAAGAAGAAAGCCTCCGGAAGAGGAAAAACATCCCACACATAGCTCTGAGAGGGAGCAGAGGGAGCAGCACTCTCACAGCATAGCACAGGCTGGAAAGGCAGGCTGGACTTCAAAGCAAGAAAAAGCCTTCTGTTGTTTGGTCCTACCACATCCAGGAAGATAAAATTGTTTTGTATGTCCTTCACAAACAAGGAAGACACCATAAAAAATCTCCACATATGAATTGCCAGATTCTCTTCCAAATAGAAACACATTAATACTTTGAATATGGCCTTATCATTAGATCTGCAAGTCAACAAGATGCAGCTGAGCTTCCAAGACATTTTGAGAAAATTAAATGGCTGAAATTACTATTTCACAGAGGTGAAAAGGATTTTTTAAAAATTACTGGTTTAGCTCATAGAAATTAAAAAGCAAAGTTTTAAAGACACAACAGCCAACTAATTTGGACTTCTGTGTGATTATTGTTGTTATTATTAAAGGTGAAGTAAACTTAGTAAATAAAATGCAGATTGTGTCTGTTAAGTGTATTGGTACACCAGAGAAAACTATCACGAGTTCATGCACTCAAGAATATGCTGGCCAAAGGCTGATACCTTAAAATCTGCTGTAGGATTTCAGTAGGAATTCAGTTCTTATATTTAGATATTCTGAGTGCAAATGATTGACATTGTAATGCAGACTATTAATAGTGATTGCTTAAGCACTCCAGACCTAACCAGCTAGCAAGCTGGCTGTTATGTTAAGCAATTAGTTTTAAAAGCAGTACTCACTGTGAAGACTTTCTCAGGCTGACCACGAGCTCGCATGTTTGTGTCATGAATTTGCTTGAGTATCATCCAAGCTTCATCATGTTTTCCAACCTAAACATTTGATCAAAACATTTAAACAAAATACACATTCGGATTAAGGTATTCACTATAGTTACTGAAAATTCTTAATGCCTATTGAACAGACATCATGATGTAAACAGAGAAATAATTTTGACTCGAATATAAAACCCAGGTGGCAAGTTATACCTCCAGCAAGAACCGCGGGCTTTCTGGCATAAAGGTGAGGGCTACCACGGAAGAGACGCAGGGCAGTGCGCAGACAATCACAAATACTCGCCAACTGTGGAACTGGTAGGCAGAGCCCATGCTGAAACTCCATCCTGTGAAAGAAGAAATTCACAAAATGTAGAGAAATAAGCAATATCGTACCTGGGACTCCGCAGCTTCTTAAGCATAGAAAAATGACAGTTGTAGTTAAATGAAGCCTGACTGATCTCTTCTATTTCCATAAATACCAATGTTTTCACAAATAACCTTTCACTATGTATTTCAGCCTCTTGCATGAGACTAGTCATGTGGAAAATCATAGAACCATAGAATCATTTAGTTTGAAAAAGACATTTAAGATCATCAAATCCAACCACAAACCTAACACTGAAAAAAGCTCTTAGAAGCCTCTTAGCAAAATCTATATGAAGGTAGTTATGTGAATTAAACAGGGAATTCATCACCATACATAAGAATATACATACAAATAAATAGTTTTGTATGAACAATGGAAGAAGGGAGAATTAAAAATCTATACTCAGATTATATATTTTATGGATTTTTACAGACTTCCTTACCATTATTAACTTTTTCTACAAAGAGCTAATTTCAGTACTCTTAGTAGGAGTCTCCTGATGTCACACAGTGCCACACACAAAGCATTTACAGTGTCTAATGTCTGTTGCCATCTCGTTCCAGAGCACTATATCACTCCTTAAATTTTATTAAAAGTAAACTGACATCTGTTCCTCTTGCCCCATATCTGGATGTACAGGAAAAATTACTCAGTGTTTAAAAATCTATCTGAGATCAGCAACCTTAGCAATGAGTTAGGGAGAGAGAATTTATGACGATATAAAGAGGTTAAGAAAAAAGAACAACAGAAAAACAACTCTCCTCATCTGAAAAACTGATCTTGAGATACATCTGAGTGCTGACTAATAACTTGTTGTAGAAGTCATTGTTAAGATACACTGAGAAAGAAAAGAAATACTGGAAAATGTGTATGTGAAACCACAGGGCTGGTAATTAAGCTTTTTAATAAAATAGCTGATTGGTTTTTTTATATTATGACTGGACTATTGAAATGTTAGAATTGTAAGAAACCTAAGAATGTCTCTTGAGAAAGAGAAAAGTATGATTTGAATACCTACCTAGCCTCTTAGTCTGGCTTCAATAGAGCAGTATTTTTCAAGTAAAATTTTCAAGGGTAACTTACTAAAAGCTGAGTGTAAGATAAGAATAACAATAAAGGACAGAAATGATTACTGGAAGAAAATAGAATCCGGGCAAATGAAAGAGCTGATGTTGGATTAATCTGATATATTTCTTCACTAATTGATTTTTTTAGACAAAATACATGGTAAGTCAAATCTGTCTGGATGCTGGTAAACAACTGATACAACATAGTACCAAATGGGCTATTAAATAGTTCTTCAAAGGAGATATTTATCTGCTAAACGTGTATCGGAACTTAAAGATCTCATGATGTGGATTATAAATAAATTCTTGGGAAAAAATCCTTTCTCATATTGAAGTATTCACATGTTACCATATGAAAAATTCAGTCAGCCCATGATTTATATTTGCCCTTTATCAACAGTTTGGTGAAACATTCTGATTTGCAGATTTGGCAACCTGTTTTTTTCTGGTCTGCAGCAAACTTTTTGTGTTTCTAAAATATATCAGCTTGCTCTACAGTCTCATTTAGCCCTGCAGTCTTTACTCCAGGAAGACAGAAGTAAAATCAGTGACAGTACTGGCATTGACATTGGAATGGCATGTTACCTTTTTTTTTCAGTAAGGCTCCAGCAAGATATACCTTCCCCCTCCAAATTTTCCTTCAACAAATAAAGGTTGTCCGAAATTTAATGTTAAATTTATTCCAAAATAGGACTTGGATGAAAATTTAAGATTAAAAAAACCAAAAAAAACCCCAAAGAAACAAGGGTGTAGAAGTCTATTAAAAATTTACTTTTTACTGATTTTTAGAAAATGTCAAGTTTTAACTTTATAGGATTTCAAATCTTAAATAATATGGGCATGCTTCATATCTAAATTGGAAAGCAAAGGAAATAAAGGAAAGGTTTACAGTGAGTTTATGAGGCAATTAGGAACCATACCTATGTTTTGGGACTTGCATACACATTTTATTATAATCATTAGGATCATATTCTTCATTATACATTTTAAACTATAGTACAGAATCACCTGATACAGAACTTGCAAAATTATTTCCTTTTGGGTAATTTTGGTGAGAGTAATGAGTTGATCTGACTTGCTGAGCAGCTGTGCAACTGCTAGTGCCATGGTAGAAGTGCCACAAGACAGCTGTATTCATCTCTCAGAACAACACAGTCAAGGTACTGGCTCTTGTTGCCATCAGAAACTGTCCCAGAAATACACAGAGCCACTAGTATATTTAGACAATTTGCCTTTCACCACTCCAATTTATGTTTTATAAGACTGAGCTACACAAAGGGCACCTCTGAGGAAAATGAAATCACCCTGCCTTTATCCCTACTCTAAAACAACATTAACATCTTCTGCTCTGTAGCCAGTCTTGGAAAATGCTGGTGACAATTTATTTTAGTGAACCATACTACACTTAATTAAAAGCAATGAGTGCACTGTTTATCCTGCTGTCTTCCCAACAACCTGTGGGACATGGTTTTTTTACATCTCAAAATATCCGAGTGGCTTGCCAATTTAAATGTTCATTATGGTTTTCATTGCTTTTATTTCATCTTTTCCTCTATATATTGTATTAGCTGCTGTGATTTATGTTGTGATTTAACATATCTGCTGAATTAATGATAATATTAAGATTATAAGAAGCAATTGTTCGAAAAAAAGCCAGCTGCAACACAGCTTTCTT